TTTACAAAATTTTTGAGCTAGGATTCTTGCTGTGCCCTGTTATCTCAGGATGAGACTAGATGCCTCTGGTATCTGTTTATTCTGAACTAAACAAAGCAAATTGCTGTCAGGGACAGCAGAAGTCATTTCATGTTGTGACACTCTGTAGGTTTTTGCTATTTATAAAAGTTTTCTCTGTCACTAGATTGAATCTGCAGATATGGACCCTGCAGAGACAGAGGGATTCTAGCTTTGGGAGAATATGATAGAACTGCAATGAGAAATTAAACCAGTGTCATAACTTGTGAAATAAAAGACCCGATTTTGGATTTTAGCTGCAGTGTACAAAAGTCACATCATATTAACCACAGGGAAAACAAAAACAAAGAGGGTGTGTAAGCACTTCGCTCTTGCCTCATTCAGCCTTGTCACTGCCTTGTGCTTCTTGCCCGCCACCTCCCCATTTTAGTCCTGTGAGTTGCATGTACAGCCCATGGACTTGATGATCACTCTCCTACCCCATTGCCCCAACCTTGGTAGGATATATCATTTTGTATAGTGCAATTTCATATGCCTGTGGTAATTAAAAACACAATCAAATGTAAAGGTGAGGACTCCCTTAGGCCCAAATTGAATTTAGTGGATCACATAACTGAAAAGTTCAAGAGGGGTCTGGCTATAGACAGAGGTCGCTAGAATCACTGATAAGGCCACCAATTCCAGGGTTCTATTTACCGTCTCTCGACTCCATGTCCCACGTTTTGGCTTCATGCTCAAGCTTGGCTGCATGACAACGTGGCTGCTGCCACGCCTCACAATTCTCCAGCCCCAAGTCCAGCAGATAGAGTGTTCCCTTTCCTAGAACTCCCTGCAGTGGCCGTATTGAATCTCTTAGGTTTGAATGGGGAAACTGTGATTGCTTGCCAGTGACAGGAACCACTCAAGTGAGCTCAGGGAAAGGGCATGGTCTCCTGGGATCCAGAGAGCGCTAGGCAACAAGAGTTTCCTCTTCCTGTCTGGCCACACCCAACCTGCCATGGGATGCCTTCCACATAGACCAGCACCCTCTGCAGCTGTCCCACTCTCCCCGCCCAGGGTCACCATCTCAGGGGTGAGTATTTGCCTTAGGGTTGCTTCTCTGTAAGCTTCCAAAGGAACAGACCACTGTGTTTTGTCCACTGTTGTGTCCCCAGTGGTTGTCAGTGAGCTTGAACATTTTGCTCAGAAGCTATTCGCTGCCCGGATGGACAGACAGTGTACAGAGGGCTCACATTCACCCAGACTGCTGTGGGCACAGTGAGGTTGGGGCAAGGAGGGAGCAAGCAGCCCTGCACACAGGTGAGGTATGGGCAATCGATACCTCCAGTGCTTATGAGGCCAGTAGAACCTCCCTGGTTGCTGGTGTAGCCTTGGTTGGCATAAAGCTCAGACAAATTTTGTGCTGCTAAAATTTTAGCAACCATCTTCAGCATAGCATTTTCCAGTGCAGGCATTCTTGTCTCCTCCTTGGCTGGCCTTCCCCTACACCTAAGATATCAGGGATTTTTACTTCATGATTATTTTAGTGGCCCATTGTGTCTGTGTCTGTGAATTTACCCTACTGTAATAAAGTTATAAATCATAATAACAAATAATATACATTTTGAATCCTGTATGAAGGGAGTGACACCAGGTGTTTCAGGGCTAGGGGTGCTGCCTAGAAGGTGGGCACATGAAAGGGGTCCAGTCCTCCGGGAGCGAGCAAGCACCTCTTCCCTCCTCAACCCTGGAAACAAGCAAGGCTGTTGCCTTCCAAACCACAGTGAGGGGCACTGGTCCCCTCTGGTGGGGACAGAGTAACACAGGCTGGTGGCAGAGCAGAAGCAGGCGGTCATTTGTTTTAGTATTTTTATTTCCTATTTGATCTTTCCTATTTGATAACCTTTCAACCTACTGGATTAACCAGGCTAACACGCAGAGAGCACGGAAGTGCATCTCAGGGCTAGGATTGTGTTCTGGATTCACTCATGGTTGCACCAGCCTCATGTCTCTAGGTACCAACTGTGTCTTCTAATTCCACACCTTTGGACTCACTAGTACCCCTCTTTTTATTCTGCCTCTGCCCACAATTGCACCCCAACTTCCAGCCTATCTTGTCAGTCCTCACCCCTCTGTGAGTAAGGGGGTCCCACTAGAGGTTCTCTGGCCACCAGAGACATGAGAAAATCGCACCATCCTACAACCTCTCCTGGGAAGGGAGGCAGCCAACGGCCCTCCCTCCCCTCCACCCCACCGCTTCCTGCTGGCAGCATAGCTATAACTATGCTGCGCTCCCCACACCCACCTCCGTCCTGTTGCCTTAGCAACGAGACTGAGGAAGTTGGGTTTCTGGTATCCAAGGTTACACTGTTCAGACAACTGCTACACGTTACACATACATACGGATCCACAATTGGTCCCATGAGGGCAGGTTTTAATTATATACAGGTGAGTTCAGGTGGCGGGCCCAATCTGGGTCTGAATATGAGATTCCCTTTCATTTGTATAACTAGAACACAGGGTTATGGCTAGGAGGATCGGGTCCCTTCTCAACGCTTCATGTGACTGCCTCCAAATCCACAAAAACAGCTCCTCTCCTTTCTCCCTGGGAGTAACAGGACTGGGCTATTAAGGAAGGGAGGAGGAAGGCCTGGTGAATGTTTTTTTTGGTTAAACCGATTTACAATAAATAATACTTTACAGTTCACAGACCTGGGTACCGTTTCCCTGAGGGTGTGGGGTCTCCTTCACGACAGCCAGGCGTCAAGCTTGTGGTTCAAGGAGCCCATGTAGCCCTCTTCAGATGCTCATGACTCATGGGGCCAGCAGACCCTCTATCCAGCCTGCCCCTCAGTCCCTCACCTGGCTCCCTGCTATGGTTTATGGTCCCAGCTTCGCGCTGCTGTCACCTCTCAGCCTAGCTTGGTGACACACATTCTGAGGGCCTAGTCCAGGGCTCCTGGCTCCTACTGGGATTCACCCTGACAGCCCTTTGAGTTCCGCAGGGCAGGGTCACAGCTCCTGCAGGACCCTGTGCAGGGGGAAGTGATCACAGGCCTGCAGTGCTGAAGGAGCAGCGGACTGACCCCTGAGTCTCACTGGCTGGTGCCCGTGTTGGGAGCCTGGGTCCCCCTCCTTGCTCTGGGAGCCAATGGCCTGCTAATGTGGTGGTATTGAAGCCCGGCTGCCCCTCACCTCCACAGAAGTCCCATGCATCCATTCTCCTTAGTGTTTGCTCTCTCTGAGAAGTCAGGAAAAGTCCAAAACAATCTCACTGGCTCCAGAGGTATGGTTTTCAATCAAGAGGTCACAATGACAGTGACAGTATTTTCCAAACTAAAAAACAAGTAGCGTGGTCTGAACGAGGAATCTGATTTCTGAATTGGATTTTATTTTAAAAAAAGCTTGTAATATTACTTGTCATTGTGTTAAACTGTTTTGTATGGTACTGGGGATTGAACACAGGGCCTTCTCACTGAACTACATCCTTGGGCCCTTTCTTTTTGAGACAAGGTCTTAATAAGTCCCTACGTTGTCCAGGCTGGGCTCAAACTTGTAATTCTCCTGCCTCAGTCTTCCAAGAGAGCTGGGATTATAGGAAAGTACCACTGAGCCCAACCTCAGTTACACATTCAGCCAAATGGCAGCAGTGGAAAAAATCAAATTACTTGAATCAGGATCTACCAAAAAATCTGAGTCAGTCATTTCAGTAGTCAGACATTAGTGATGCAGTATGGTGTGGGATCATGTTTTAGTTTACAGGCTCTTTTTTGTCAAGAAGATTAAAGTGATTTCCTTTTTTTTTTTTGGTACCGGGGATCGAACACGGGTCCTTGCATTTGCAAAGCAGGTGCCAGAACCACTGCGCTAAATCCCCGGCCCAATTAAAGTGATTTCTAATGGGCCGGGGATTTAGCGCGGTGGTTCCACCACCTGCCTTGCAAGCACAAGTTCCTGAGTTCTATACCCCGCTACCAAAAAAAACCCAAAAAAACAAAAAAACAAAAAACCCAGAAGATTTCTAAAGAATTTCTGTTAATCTTTTTGGGAGTATTGATATCAAATTCAACAGAAATTGATTATTTGACCACCCTTCTAAGAAAACTAGCAGAATTAATATTTAAGCAGAACTGATCAGTTCTAGTCATTAACTCTACCCTTTAAAAATTCAGATTAGGAAAGTAGTAAAGTCTCTAAGTCCAACTTGAGAAAGTCTATTCTTTGGTTTATAAATCATGACCTATTTTCAAAAGACGTTTAAGGAAATTTTATGATTTTTGGATTTTTTTTCTGGTTTTCTTTCAAGGAAGTTTCAGAAGGATTTAGTAAATATTCAGGTCAGGCAAATGTCTGTATTTTCTAAGAATGGAATTGTAAATTCTTTGCCACAGAGCTATTTTAAGAAGGAAAGTTGGTATGTTGATATGTCACTAACTTTATTTTATGAGAATCAGATAATGAAATATTAGTGTTAAATTGATTAAGCTATGCTCCAGAAAGCTGGGCAATGCCCCAGCCATATTGTTTCTTAGTGTTTTAAATTAATGAAAGCCTGATTGTAGAAACATTTTACTACATTTGAAGAATTAATTTTATTGATACATTTTAAGACTTTACATTTTTATATTACTTATAAAATTAAAATATGCAAATATAAGAATACCTTTCTGTTCTTCAAATTCTTTCTTTTTATCCTGCCTTTGGATAGAAGGACCTATCTTCAAATATAAGACAAAGCACCTCTAAGTTGCTTATTTTACATCAGCAAACTGAAGTTTAGAGTATTTTGCAATAGAATATTGCAAAAGAATTGATAAAATTACAGATTTGCAAGACAGAGTCACACGGTAGCTTTTTAAGTATGGAATTTGCATTCTCTGCAGGTGATTGTTAAAAAAAAACTTTAATCATAAGGATCGTTATAGAGTCTTAGGCTCCATAGTGCGTCCTCTACTTGAACATATGTTTTTATTCAGAACTTATAACATTATAAATTACCAGCCACCAAAATTAGGATCATTCACGACTATGTGTCCAGGAGCTCAAGTTTCTTCTCGCAGTTACTTCCACAATCATTCAGCAACTCACAAACAGCGCGCGACCACATTTTACGAGGCCCTTCACACCATCTCCCGTGCCTGGCTGGTGTTACTAATCTGCCTGTGAGCAGGTGAGTCTTTTCTGGAGTACAGATCTGCAGAGGTTAAACCGATTCCTGAGGAAATCACATCCTGGAGTGAACCCCAGGACAAAATGTAACCACGTTGAGCTGGGTTCCAGAAACAGCCACCAGAGTTGTCCAGATTTGATTCTATCACACTGACAAGTAACTGCAGGAAAATGAGTCATAAACACACCTTGCATTACAGCTGCCATGGATGTCCACCTCTTCCCTTCCAGCTTTTGTCAGAGGACACTAGCACATTGGGGCCTTTGTTCTGCTGTCCACCTAGCAAATTCAGTAGTGCTTCTTGTTCTTCTGTTTTTCTTCCATCTGCACAAAAGAGGGCTCCTCTTACTTTCTAATCAAGATGCACTCTGTGGGCAGAAGCTTTTGCTACTAGAACTCCAACTTGAAATATTAAAAAGAAAACAGAATTAAGTTGCCTTTTGGGGATTAATTGAAAGCAATCCTGGATGGAATGAACATCGTGGTTGTGTCTCTCTCTTCTGCCACCCTCTGCATATCCTCGTGTGTGTACAGCCTGCTTTCCTGGCAAGCTGCTGCAGCCTTAGCTTCTTGGTACGCTGCTGTTGCCCGGCACATTCCTTCTTTGAGGCCTGCTCTTCTGCACTCAGTCATGCATCCATCGGTTCAGTGCTGTTGTTGATCTGCACTATGGATGCAAAGATCACACACTCAACATCAAACATTTTTGAGCAACTGTTAGGTGTAACAGGAGTTGTGTACACAGCAGCGAACAGGACAGCCTCCGTGATCTTGTTGTCCAGGGGAAGGGTGGCAGAGACAAATGCACGAACTAATTTGGATGAGTAACTAACCCTAACCCTAACCCTAAACCTGTCCTCTAGGGCATCAGTTAGGGGAGGTGGCTGTGTGTTTCGGGAGACTGTGGAAGATCCAGCCTGCAAGGGAAGAGCTGTGCAGAGCTGGGGGCCCTTGCGCTCAGAGTCTCAGGCGCTTCCTCCATGCCCTCTCTCAGTACTGCCTCTACCTCAGGGGAGGCAGGAAAAGGGGCCAGAAGGAAATCTAGTCACTGCCATGTCCCCCCTGGTAATTTCTATTGACTACCTCTGAGGGAGGTGCTCCCCAGCTCTGAATTCTGGGGGGAACTGGAGGCTCGGGCGTGGCCCAGCTGATTTTCCTGAGCTGGGTCTCACCAGGCTGAATCCTAGGTGTCCCTGGGGCCATGGTCTCGTGTTGGTGGAAGGCATGACTGGGCTTCTGTTTTCCTGAGGTGGCAAATCTGCCCAAAGGCCGTACTCTTGGGTTCCATGCCCAGCTGCCTGAGGTTTTCCCCTCACTATAGGAGGAGCGGGCTTGGGGTGAGGAACAGCAGAGGTACAAAGCTTTCTGACTGGCTTTCCTCCATTAGTGGGTGACTGCATGCCTCCCACTGCCCAGGGTAGGCACATTGGCCAACTGCTTTCTCTTCCAGCCTGAGTATGTCCCGTGTTTAAAAATCAGCCCCTTACACCTTTGTTTGAAACACAACTATGAAAAGCATAAGACTAATGTTAAACCCCAGAAAGGAGGGGGTTAAACCTAAGGCAGAGATTGCAAAAACCTAAGCGAAGCTTGTAGCAGTCAACCGTGGCACGCATTCTGGATAGGAGCCGGGTGCCAGAAGTAGGCGCACCCTCTCAGCCGAGTCCTGGGCTCCTGCATAGGCCGGCGAAGGCTGCCATCGGTTCTTCAGGATCAAGCCCTTGATTTGTTGCTGCCAGGATTTTTACCAAGACTGAAAAAAAGGAGGGCAGCCAGGGCCAGGACAGGGCTGTATTGTTGGGGACCATGGCAGGGAGCCCCTTAACACCACCACAAAGGACAGGCTTTCCTGCGGCCTGGGTTTGAGACCTCTTTTGCTGACAGACAGGTGTTTCACTGGGGAAGATCTTCACCCTCTCTGAGCCTCAGTTTCCTTCTCTGCACCCTAAGGACCTGAACACCTACCTGTAGCGAGACTGCAGTGCGCTTACTAAATGCCCTGGCACAGTGCTGAGCCCCAGCCACCCACGGTACGCATCTAAGGAACAGCTGCCACTGTGTTGCTTCCACAGCTGGTGCTTCCTGCCCTGCCCCGCCAGGCACAACTCCCCCAGCCAGCCGCAGGCAGGAAATATCACGTCTTCTAAGGAGCTTCCTTTCAGGAGATGCCCTTAGCCAAGGCTGGGGCACCAGAGAAGATTCTAGTAGAAGAGGACATGGCAGAGTGACACCTACGGATGTACAGAAGTAGCAAAAGGAGAGAGAGGGAGAGAGGGAGCGGCGAGTACAAAGCTTCAGAGACAGGAAGCAGTGTGCTCCCACACTCTGCTGTTTGCTGCAGCCCAGTCCCTTGTGAAACACCTGGCCTGGCTGCTAGAGGAATGTGTACAGGCGTTGCTTAGAGACGTGTTTGGAAAGATTTGTGTGTGTGATTGTGAGACCGGCAGACAGACACAGAGTTAACATACAGTTCTTTATGGCCATACTCTCCAGAAGTTACTGGCACTTCCTGTCTTGGGAATCAGAACCTATTCTACCAACTCTGGCCTGGAGCAGAAGCCTGCACTTTCCCTGATGCAGGCTCCCCTGGGACTCATACCCCACTGAAGCAGGGAGCATGGCAAGCACGTTCTGTGTATTACGTCAGCCGTGTTTGTCTCTAGCCATGGCCCTTAGTTCAGCCTGTGCTCAGATTCATTTCATGGCGATACAGATCGCTGGACAGGAAGGCTGCTTTGCTAACAGCTCCCCCATCTGACCTGGCCCCTAGGGTTTCTGCTTGTTTGTTCTGTTTATCAGGGTAATTTCTAAAGCATGAATGGAGGCTCTTGTATATCCTTGGGCTTATAATCTGGAAGGGCCAGAGACTCAAGGAGCACTTACTTTGCTCAGGAGGGACTGAGGGCAATGGCCTCGGGCCCTGCAGCTATTCCTTTCCAGTTCTTCGTCTCATCCTCATGTCACATCCAGTTTTGTTGGCGACCTATCTCTTTCAAGCTCTGCCTCGGAATGACACCATCTGAAAACAAATGTATCTTACCCTAGATCTGAAAAAAAGAAAGATAGATGAAAAGAAAGAAAGGAAGAAAACAAGCCCACCCTCATGTTAACCAAATGAAAACCAGGCAGTGTCCCTGTTCTTGGACCTTCCAATACTCTAGTTCTGGAAGTGGAAACAGCTGCACTGAACCACAGCCAACCCAGCAGGGGCTGCAGGTCAGACCCACGCCCAGCCCAACTGCCTGCTCCTCTCTCCAGTGCTTCATTCTGAATCTGGTTCTCTCTAGTTCCCATCCTCTGTTCTCTCTAGTCTGCGGTTCCCACACAGGGGTTACTATGGTAATTGGAAAACCTTGTTGTTTTAGTGGTTTCATAGGCAGAGCGTTTAGGCAGCAGCGTGACACTGTGTGTTTACTTTTTACAGAGCGCAAAGCTTGGCTCTGAGTTCCCCCCCCCATGGAGGACTTCAGCTCTGCCCACAGTGTCCACTCCTCAAGGACACAGGTCATCACCTGGGCCCCTGGACAGGGATGGGCTGGCAGGCCTAGGCAGGTCAGAAATGTCCTGAGGTAAAGCAGAGAATGAGCTGCCTGGCCTCACCCCGGCTGGTGATGAGATGAAATCCAGGTGTGCCTTTTCCCTCTGCAGCTCCTTTTCTGTTCCTTCGGCAAGAGTCGTCCTTTCTACCTGAAGAGCTGGCACTGGGGGTTGGGCTGAGAACAGGGCCTGCTTGTTATTGCCCCCACTTCCCCTGACCTCCATCTGGCCAACTTCCAGGCTGGTTGGACACTCAGGATGTCCTTATGTAGACTTGACTGCTCTAGTGGGTAACCACATGGAGGTGGAGAGCAGAAGAGACCCATCTCAGCGGCTGGAAGAAGGGAGGTGTGTGGACAGCCTCTGCTGGAGTGAGCTATCGGGTGTACATCCTGAGTGAGAAGAGGATGGGGTCATCCAGTCTGCCTTGGGCATCTCTACACCTCTCCTCTCCAACCCAGATGACCCTGAGTAGCCTATGGCATTGTGTTCTAGATGACTCAATTAAGCCTGGGGCTCATGACTTGGCCCAGTGGATGTTCTGCCTCCCTTTCCACTCTTGTAAGGACAATTATCTTCTTTGTTCTGCAGCATAAATCTTAGGGAGGTGATTTAGCTTTTCACACTAGCATTTTATATAAGTCATAGTCTCCTACATGTTAAGAATTGTCATGGATCTTAATGATCATCTGGAACAGGGAGTGATTCAAGATCTTTGTTTCCACCCAACACCCTAAAAAATGAGCCACATTTCCATCAGGAGGTAGAGACTGCTCAGCACTGATTCAGACTGTGGGTGGATGGGGAGGGTCACACTGGGCTCTTAGGATGGGGGTGGGAGCTGTCAATAACCATCTGCTACTTAGAGGGCAGGGCCCTGAGGGAGGGGACAGAGAACAGGTGCATGGTGGTAATGATGGTTAGAAGCACATGATTGGAAGGTGTCTGGAGCCTTCTGTACTGTAGGGTTCTGATACCCTTTGTCTAACTTCTCCTTGAGTTGGAAATCACTGAGAGTTAATACTTCACCTTTTTAGATGTGAGAAGCCAGGGAAGTCCAAAGAAGAGAAACAAACAGAATCAGAGAGTAAAAGACAGTGCAATCTGTGAACCCAGGTCCCCCAACTCCCAATACCAGTTAGCATGAAGCACACAGCTAATTCTCTGTAAAGGTCTGACATATCCTTGAAGGGTGCAAAATAAAGGATATTGGTCTATTCATTTATTAGTTTAACAGGCAGAAAGGAGAAGCCCAGGAAGATCTTCTGAAGAGATCAGCGAAGGCAGGGACACCAGTGCCTCAGTTGGGGGCATGGAAGAGGAGGGACTGTAGCTTGGTGGCAGGAGAAAACCTTGTCCATCTGAGAGAAAATGTTGCTCTGCAGGCTCAGCAGTGCTGTGTTGGGAGGGCAGAAATACCCTGGATCCAATGCTTTCTGGCTTCTGAGCCCACCTTGTACAGCCCACTATATAGTCAGTGCCGCCATATTGGTTTCACACTGACTGACACCTGCCAGCTAACTGACTTTGGCAAGCTGACTACTAATCTATTCATGCTTCAATTTTCTCATGCATAAAAATGAAGATGGTAAAGAAATTATTTCCTTGACAGACTACTAAGACTAGATAAGTTAATATGTATAAAGTGTTTAGAAGAGTATCAAGCAGAAAGTCATCAACTGCATTAAGCTAAAGAATCTAGGGCTGTATACCATATGAGCCGTTATTGTAGAGAAAATGCAACAAGGTAAACTGGAGGTTGCTTTTTATTTTTAAATGTGTGAGTGTGTGTGTGTGTGTGTGTGTGTGTGTGTGTGTGCGCGCATGTGTGTTATTGGGAATTAAACTCAGGGACTTGTTAATGCCAGACAAGTGCTCTACCACTGAGTTGCACTCTCAGGGCCCCCTATTTTAGAGCTCTCACAGCCTGTCTTGGGAAAATCAATGAAGGATTCAAGTGGTGTGGTCCATAACACACCTGCCAAACTCAGTGCTGGATACTTTCAGTCGTTTTCTTCAAGTAGCCCAGCTGTCAGATTCTTCCTCCCACCTGCCAGTCTGCTCACATTGCATTCCCTGGCTGGGGGTAATCACCCTATCTCACAGTTGGCTTCCTAGGCAGAGAGACTTGTACTTGCAATTTCCTGGGAGTTGTCATGAAATCTTCCCTGTCTCTGGGGCTGTGCCCTGCTAGGTGACAGGCAGCTGCATTGGTAAACAAATTCTAAACATTCATGGGAGACATTGGTTTCCTAGTATCAGTGTAGCCTTTATAACCATCTCAATGAATGATCACAATTTTTCAATCGGTACTCTAGGGAAGTATGTGATTTGCCCATCAATAAAAAAGGATGCCTGGTAGCCCTGGCTCATCCTACCACTTTCTCAGGGAGATGATCTCAGCTATGTTCACAGTCCCTTCCACCACTTGTTAAATCCCAAATGTTTCTGTGCACAGCTCCCTATTAGTCCTAAGACACCTCCTGCTCCATCTGTTCTAAACCCACGGCACCACCTCATTTTCAAAACCAGTTTATCTTAGTCTCACTTTCACAGGTGATGACAAATCCTACTATTACCTAAGCCTGAAACAGGTGAGTCATTCTTGATTCCTCCCTCTCCCTTAACCCCTTGCCACCCTTCAGTCAGTAAAGACTGATAAACTATTACAGTGATAAACTGAGGGGCTTCCCAATTTGTAGAAATGTCAATATAAAAACTGAAAAGGTCCTGGGAACACAGCAATGAATTAGTCACCCTATGAACGTTCCCTCTAAAATATTTCTGGGCCTATTCCTTCTGCCATCTTCATGCCTTTCTTGCTAGTTCAGGTTCTTGATGCTCATGTGGACTAGTATTTTGGCCTCCTAATATATCTTAATGCCCCCAGCCTTGCCTTTCCAAAGGATATTCATCTTTTTAGAAGCACCTCTGAGCAGGCCATTTTGCATTATGGCTCTCCTCTGACCCTTTTGGCTTCTCAGTGTTTCCTACTGCCTGGACAGAGTCAAGAACTTTACCCAGCACACAGTGGCCTTTGTGATCTGGCACCTAGCAACCACTCTCAACTCTCAGCAACCTGGCTGGCATTTGCACACACTAGGAAAACAAGCTGGCCTCTCAGGTTTTCTCTGTCCTCATTCCAATCTTCACAGTCCCTTGCCTTTGATTTCTTTGCTCCTGATATGTGTTTTAATTTGGGCTCTCATAGAGGCAGAGCCTGAGACACAATTTGGATGTGAAGTTTATTTGAAAAGTGATCATAAGAGGCAGGAGGAAGTGAGGATATGAAACAGAAGAGGGAGAATAGTCAATGATCAGGTGCTCAAAGCCACTGTTGGAGTTCAGCAATATGCAATTCCACCAAGACCTCAGAAGTAGGCATGGTGATGCCTCCTTCCATGGCCCATGCTAAGGATGGGAAGCCAGGGTGGTAAATCTACCAGCTCCTGCCCCGTCACTGATACATACCTCTGGATGTCATCTCACCCAACTTGCAGGCCTGGCTTGCAGTAGGGCTTGGATAGGGGGACTTGGAAAGGGAAGGTTCTGCTGGAGGGCGGATGCTGCACTGTTGAATCAGACAGAGCCTATTTGTAGCCCAGACTGAAATCAGAGGTAAACCAAGAGGAATTTCCTGTGCCTGCAATGGCCTTCTGCAGTTTGGAAGGGCTCCTGGGGAGAATCCAAGCTTGCTGTCACTCATCTTTAAGCTCCCTGACCTGTGATCTCTCACACTTCCTGCCCGAAAGACTTCCCTCTAAAATAGCACTTCTCCCCTCCGTGCTGGGGCAGAGCTGAGTTCTGGCCTCTACTCTGTGGCTACACATCCCTCATGTGTCAGTCCAAGGCTTCTGGGCTAGAATTTTGTCTTAAATAAATTATATATATGACTGCATTTGATTCTTAGAAAAATCCTGTAACTCAGCTCTTCCATTTTATCGCTGACGAAACTGAAATATGAAGAAATTTAGTAACTTGTTCAAGGTCACACAGCTGACAGTGGCAGAGTTGGGTTGCAAACACCGGCAGATAGCTCAGAATTCAAGCTCATTGCTTTCATTTTCTGCTGTTAGGAAAGTGAGGACTCCTGAAAAATGTCACGGAAAGGGGAGGAGATAGCCAAAGACATAACAGTTTACTAGGGCTGCCTAATAAAGTAGTCCAAGGATGTAAGCCATGGAAACTTGTTTTCCTCATCATTTTAGAAGCCAGAAGTCCAAGATCAGTAAAGCTGACTCTTCTGAGTGCTGTGAGAGAACGTCTGTTCTACATCTTTATCTTACCTTCTGGTACCATCGATGTTCTTGTCTTGCAGATGACACTGGCCCGTGTCTCCATGTCATTGTCCCTCTGTGCATCTGTAAGTTGACTGTGCCCAAGCCCCCTGATGATGCTAGGGCACCAGTCACATCAGATTAGTGCCCTCCCCAGTGACTTCACTTTAACTTGATCATCTGCAAAAGCTATTTCCAAACAAGGTCACAATCATGGGTAATGGGGTATTGAGAATTTAACATCCTGGGGGTGGGGTTACAATTCAACCTACAACAAGGGTGGGGGCGCTCTGGCCTCCCAGATCCTTCCTTCTGATGAATGGGAAGCTTGGACACTGGAATTCCAGGATACCTGCCACATGAATGGGACACCTGGGCATCTCACTGCTTGATTAGAGTGGTAACATCTGTGGCACATCTCACACCATCTAGAGTGCAGCACCCCAGGGACAGTGAACAAATTCTTTTATTTCCCCCATCAATTAAACTTTAATACTATGTGGAATCAGCTCCACTAAGCAGCCTTGAGTTTTTTCCTCTTAGTGCTCTGTTCTCCTCTCCTTTGACATCTCCTAAGCTTCTGTTGCCTCAAACACAAATGTTGAAATGTTTTAGGTAAGATTCTGGGGGGAAGGTGATCTGTAAGTGTCTCTGTGGCAGCCAGGATTGTGCAGCACCCACATTTCTTAGAACTTTGGAGTGCTCTGCCTCTGAGCCTGAGGACCTCTCTACACTCTCTCAACCTACCTGTAGGTAGACCAGAAGGACTAAAATGTTCCCAAATGGGAAGCAGCCCTCAGGAGTGGTGTATAGATACTCTGCTCCCTTCACTACTTTGATGGGATAATTCTAATATGCATATTCTATGTCTATCCTCTGCTCATTCATAGCGACTCTCTTCCCTGCACCCCCTGCCCTTATTTATTTTTTGGCATTGGGGATCGAACTTGAGACATTTTGTTTGCAAGGCAGGCAGCAGAACCACTGAGCTAAATCTCTGGCCCTGCCCTTCTTGAAGAGACTATTCACACTTAAATCCTTGCCCCAAAATTTGCCTTTTGGAAAATGCAAACTCAAACATCCATGAAAGGAGAGCTGTAAGGGTTTCAGTTTCCTCAGGGTGGACCTTCTAGGCCGGCAGGGCCCTGCACAAGATGATGGAAATATTCCAGGTCTACCTGGTCAGGTCAGTAGCTATTCAGCACAGGTTGCTGTCTGGCATTTGCAGTGTGGTTGGTATGACCAAGAAGTTGGGTTTTCCATTTTCCTGAATTTTAATGAATTTTCATTGAAATAGTCTTATGCATTTTGGGACTACTGTATCAGAGACCAACGTCTAGTAGACAAACACATCTTTCCCTTGTCCACTCTTCATGGCAGAAATCAACAATGATTGGATTTGTCAAAATAGAAGACAGGGAAGCTAAGGGAAAGAGCTAGACCAGGGTGGGGACAAAATTCTGGCTTTGATGATTCCTGTTGTCTCACTCCTTTCTCTGGAAGGAAGCTGTGAGGTTAGGGATCATGATTTTCCTTAGGCAGATACCACGCACAAATGAATCCCACTGCTTGGACTTGTGAATGATTGACTTACTTGTGCGAACTCTAAGGCTAGTGCCTCTCAGGATGCTTGTAGTCCTTGTGATTGGTTCAAATAAAATCACTTCAGTAGTCTCTTGGCAAAACCCTTCAAATCAAGGATAACTTAATGTCTCTTGTTCCTCTTTTAGCCACGTGTTCTTAGGGACAATATTTCCCACGACCTTGATTTTATTAGGTTGCTACAAAAGGTTAAAAGCAGTGTACTTTGGAGAACTTTAAACACATTTTCCCAGGAGAGAATGTTCGCTAATAACTATTTGTAGCTCAGAGAAAGAAGTCAAAATGTCTTTGGCATAAAGGGAAATCAGGCTGTCTCATCAGGCTGAGGACCCCTGAAATACATGACGAGTGTCACCTTGGGAAGGTCAGGCCTTTCTTGCCGTTGTTGAGGTGAGGGAGGCAGTAGAGTGACTGGGTGAGTGAGTGAGTGGTCAGGTCGGGGGGCACCCTGACCTGGGGTTAACTCCTGGCTCTTCCTCTGTGTACTTGTGAGACTTTGGGCTGCTATCTTATTTGTTCCTCATCTGCAAAATGGGCTCAACAATAGTACCTGCCTCCTAGCATTGGTGTGAAAGTCAGACAAAGCGATGCGTGTAAGAGGCCAGAAAGCCTTTGATCAGTGTTATTCTCTTCATTGCTGTCATGGACACTCAAGCTCAAATCCTGGCTAGCAGTTGTGTGGTGTTGGCCAAGTTGCTTAATCTTTGGGTCTTGATTTATTCACTTTTCCAATACAGATAACATCTAGCTTGGAGGATTGAAAAGAAGGAAGATCATTCACAGATAGTATTTGGCATGCAAAAGGTGCTAATTTAATAATCTTTATTCTACCTTTTTCTCTCTGTAGGTAGGTGTATGGTGGGAATGTAACAAGTACTTTGACTTGATTTTTCCCTGTGCTAACAAATACCAGACTTCATTGAAATTACTTTAGTGGGTAACTACGATTACTTGTAAGTGGATCCTGAAGTGTGCATAATGTTTTATTTTTTATGAAGATAGGCCAGGGATATTTTCTCACTTGACTCCTTGCATTCACAGACTCCAGTCAAGGATAAACTCTGTACTTTACATGTTAATTTCAGACCTGTGTTTGTACACATTCCAGTCTATTTCAGAGATCAAGCATCTGGGCTGGGGATGGGAATAAACTCACAGATTTACCCACACTCTCATTTTGTCTTCACAGCTCGTATTCCGTCGCTGTCCTTTCAATGGGCTGGCAATATGATCCATACAGTGTCTAACATTACACGGAGCTGGGCCAAGCTTTTGAGCTAAACTGCCCTCCTCTGAGTCT